CAATTGAGAACCTACCAGTGATGAACTCAATTTCTGGTCCTCAGAAGTTATGCTTTCATGTATTCACAATTGAGAACCTACCAGTGATGAACTCAATTTCTGGTCCTCAGAAGTTATGCTTTCCTGTATTTACAATTGAGAACCTACCAGTGATGAACTCAATTTCTGGTCCTCAGAAGTTATGCTTTCCTGTATTTACAATTGAGAACCTACCGGTGATTGAACTCAATTTCTGGTCCTCAGAAGTTATGCTTTCCCGTATTTACAATTGAGAATCTACCAGTGATGTCCTCAGAAGTTATGCTTTCCTGTATTTACAATTAAGAACCTACCGGTGATGAACTCAATTTCTGGTCCTCAGAAGTTATGCTTTCCTGTATTTACAATTAAGAACCTACCGGTGATGAACTCAATTTCTGGTCCTCAGAAGTTAGTGATGAACTCAATTTCTGGTTGATAGTTACGTTGACTCGTTCTGTAGCCACTTTAGAAAGTTGTATAATGTTTTGCGAAGTATTTTAATTTGACCATGCACGTGGGTTAACAAGGCCGAAACTGTATTTAGGAACTTACATGTTTTTTTCGTATTCTGTTTTACACTGTTTTTCCTGTAAGGTTCTTAAGAGTGATTCATTTAGTTCTGTTAAAGATAATATGTGACTGAAATAATAATGTTAAATCCATTATTGAAAAGATTAAATTTGGCATCCATTTAGCCTAAACATCATTTGGTTTTAGACGCTGAGGGATTGCACTAAAGACATGGATCAGAACACGTGGAATGCCTACCATATTGTTAGCAACAGAGCTCGAGCTGTTTGCTATGCAGCAAGACAGCAACAGTTCACAGCCAAAACGGAGATTACAGTAAACAAGTTGATGTGGACAGCAGAAAATCAGCTAGACAGTATGAAAAAGTTGGAGGTTGGTGTGAACTTTTGAATGTGTTTAAAAAAAAAAGATTAAATAAACTATTCATAGCTGTTGTGAAAAAAAAATACTTAATAGAATTTAATTAGGAAAATTCTGCAATGAAACAAAATCTAAAGACAATGACTGACCGTTTTGTTTTCATAATTGTGGATTTTGAAACATTTGGGTGATTGGAAGCAGAGTAGAAACATATGGCACCAATATTGCCTATGATAACTCAAAGTTTTGATTTAGTGACTGAAAAGTTATTCAGTAACATATTTTTCATTCCAACCTTGTAGACTAAAGCCACCTGAGTTTAATAGTAGCTATAATAACACTTGTTGAACTTTGCTCTGAAACAATATTAATAATGTCCAGGTATATCTGTAAAAACAAACATTGTGTAACTTAATTGAGTAATTTACTGTCCATAAAATGTGTACTTAATCGTATATCATTCTTTCTCGATGCCATCACATACACGATCATATATATTAACAGCAATTTCAACCTGTGTACATGTAGTAAAATATTGTGTTTGTGATCAGCATACTTTTATTTTATACTAAATTATTACTTCAGTAAATGTTGCACTAGATAGCTTCGATGGATATGGAACTGATTAGGAACATGTGATGTTATGATTCTATAATATTCCATTAATTATCAATTTCAATAAAGATTGATTAACCATTTCTGAGCCTGATTTCAAAAAATAAAATAAAAAATTTCCCTTCTCACAATGGAAATGCTTGGCATGAATCTTTAAACATACTAATAGTATCTAGTTTTGGCTTAGAATAATTTATATAATTTCATATAGCATTTCCATAATTGTTTAAGTTGTGAAATTTACAAAACTATGTTTTGAGAAACTGTTTTGTAGTAAGATTTAATGGTGGCCTGAATCATTGAAACATTTTGATGTTTGCTTATCTTAGTCACTAAATCTGACTAAACCTATCTGTTGTTTTGTCATAGAATAAATTTTTTGTGGCTTTCAAACACATAAATTAATATGAAAAATTTTCAAGAAGGAAAGAAAAACTATCTAAAAAAATTCTCAGTTCTGTGAGTTGTTCCCAAGTCTTCTAAATTTCCCATTAAATGTTCTTCTGGTCATTTTCTCGTGAATCCATGAATTTTTGCTCAAGCCAGTTTATTTGCTCAACGACAACAATATAAATAGTTTGACACCTCTGTCTAATCGTATTTAAATAGTGTATGTACATCAAATTTCAAAAATGTGCTTCATTGACAATTATTCATATCAGATGATGCAATATCAATTTAACACAAAACATTCCCGGTTTCCCCTTGAAGAAGAAAGGTCCACCTTTCGAAAGTACTCGGGTTATAGAATATCACATTTTATGTGTTTTTCTAACATCATGAATGTTGGGATAACATAAAAAGATGAGGGGGGGTGGATAAAAAAAGCTAATAAAACTACTAACGCAGAAGAAAAGTAGTGAGAGAAGTAAGTTCTGGGTAATTGTGTCTTCAAGGAATAATAGTGTCTTGATAAATACAAATCTCTACATTGGGATAGGTAAAAAAAAAAATTTGAGTTGTTAATGGGTAAGACTCTTTAAGGAGCTGCACATAAATGAAAGCTTGAATATTTTTTATGACTATTTGCTGACTCCAGTAAATAAATACTAAAAAAATAATATATAAGTTCTGAAATATTTCTGAGTTAAATATTGTTGAACTAGTTAGAATTGCTGTTTTTTACTTAAATATTGAAATTTGACATGCAGATGTTTACCCATCAGCTGAAAAGTACTTACAATTCTGGACAGGGTTAAGACCAAAGAAATTATTGTTCACAATATGTAGTACTGGAATTAATGAGAATAATTACACATTTTTTGTCATATTAGAAACAAGTGATTAAGTTGTTCTCACTTTTCCAGTATACATTAGTTTCATAGATTTTACATTTGTGGGAAAAGTAGCTAAAAACTTGAGGGTTTAAGCCCTCCAATCTCTTAACTCGTATATATGTGCTATTCCCAGATTCCACAGTCTAAGTAACCTTATTCCCGTGGCTCCTAAAACTTTGTGAATGAAGGTTACTTATATAATTTAATTCTTGCTTTAAATTTCAGACGGTGCACAAAGCTTTTAATTTTGCAATGATTTTTTTCTTTCAATACTGCTAGGAAGGTCAAGAAAAGATGGGAGACTTGACCAGCCATACTCTTGAAACCATGGCAGCTGGACAAAAAGACCTAATGAGTCGACAGGAGATACTAAAATCCTCTCAGCAGAAAATCCAGTTGTTCATAACTGGTAATATGCGGGAACTCACCAGGGAAAAAGCACTGATTGCAACAGGACAAAAAGAGCTAGCAGAAATGACTGAAGTCATCAAAAAAAAACTAGGTAGTCAGAAAACCTTTCCTATTCAACCACAAAACTGAAATGTTGAATGTTTTTAACTGCAATTAACTTCTGAATACAGGGGCATAGCTAGCAAAAATTGGTGTGCATGCCAAATATGTAAACTTCAACACCAAATTTCTGAATTAAAATGGTGAATTATGTTATTTCATCAACTAAATTTATTACTTTTCAATAGAATCAAGATTTTTTTTAAGTCTATATATCTGTGTATGTGTGTGTGTGATTTTCATTTTTATAACAATTCAAAAACGGAAAAATAGCAGTATCTTGTTTAGATTACTAGTAAGTAGTTTTATATTAACTTTGTAAGCTATTTATTTTTTTTATCAAAATGGGCCAAGAGCTTTAATTATAACAACCTAAACCAAAATCCCAAGTTTGTGTCCTAGGCCCGGCATGGCCAGGTGGTTAGGACGCTCGACTCGCAATCTGAGGGTCGCATGTTCGAATCCATGTTCCGCTAAACATGCATGCCCTTTCATCCATGGGGCATTATAATGTGACAATCAATCCCACTATTCATTGGTAAAAGAGTAGTCCAAGAGTTGGCAGTGGGTGGTGATAACCAGCTGCTTTCGCTCTAGTCTTACACTGCTAAATTAGGGACGGCTAATGCAGATAGCCCTCGTGTAGCTTTGTGTCCTTAAGTTCCCAGTTTGCCAACAGCATTTTCTAGCTTTGTTATAATTTAACTTTGAATTTGCATGCTTTACTAGTAGTTTTTTTAATTGACTTTCAAAGTAAAAGTGATTGCGGTTTTCTGAAGAATGTTTCTTTTTCGATTTTTTGTATGTACAGTCAACATTAAGTGAGATGTTTCAGCGTAATGTAACTTTTGTAAAAACTTAAGTGTGTGTTTTGTTTAGATTTGTAAAGAGTACTGGCAGATTTCTTTATACTAATGAAACATGTATAACAAACTTGATTAAAGTTCTTTTTTGATTGAAAGTAAAAAGATTGGATAAAAAGGAAAAAAGTACCTTTATTTTTGCAAATGAGATTTTCAACCACAAAATATGAGAATTTCTCGAACAATGTAGATACTGCGAGCAATCGGCTAGAGAAGAATGAAGTAGACAGACGAAAGAATCATCAGGAAATTCTTAATGATTTGGCTACAGTCCAAAAAAAATCTGAAGAAGTCTGGAACAAAATTGGTAGGTGTGCGCATCAAGGGATTTCTCTAGGATATTAGTATGATATTTTATAAATCAAAATCAATTTTTTTTTCAAGGAACTCAAAAAAAAACTGTAGTTTTTCTTTGACAAAAGCTACTTATTTACCAGGTTAAAGAATTATGCAATAGAATGAAATTTCGTTTTTGTAAGTTTCTTGTTTTTGTACGTATAAAGCTTACTTGTTTTGTATCGTGTGAAAAAAAAAAGTTTGATGGAAGGAGAAGCAGATGAATTTGAATATTAACATTTAAGGTAATAACCAAACCTTAATTTCCATTTTACAATTGAGAAATGTTTTTTGATAAGAGTTAGCACAAAGGATCACATATGAAGTGTAGTAGACTTAAAATAAGACCCAAAACTCGAGCGCTTTCGAATAGTTGACTATTCTTCTTTGTTCTCCTGGAGAAGAATAGTCAACTTTTCGAAAGTGCTCGAGTTTGGGGTCTTATTTTAAGTTTATTACACTTTATATGTGGTCCTTTGTGCTAACTATTTTATCAAGATTGATATTCCACTCATGGACCCGATTTTACCAAAGGAATTTCCTTAATTTTTTGTGAATAAGTTAAGGTTATGATCTCCTATTTTCTAGGACGTAATTACGATGACGAACAGGGCCCTGGATGGGTTATAAGAGTAACGGTCAAATCTCACTATTAGTCTAGAATTGCCCACGAATTGGCGGTGGGTGCAGTTGACTACCTGCCCTCCCTCTAGTCTATCACTTCAAATTTAGGAACGAATAGAGCAAATAGTCCTGCAAATAGTTGACTATTCTTCTTCACCCTTTGTTCTCCTGAAGAAGAATAGTCAACTATTCAAAAGTGCTCAAGTTTTGAGAAATGTTTTGGTGTTGTTACAGGCCTTTGATAGTATGCTAGTTGTCATTCTTAGTGGCTACTATTATGATCACTTAATACACTGACTATGGGCTGGGTGGAATCCAGCCAGCTTGTAATTACCAAAGTAACCATGAGAAATTTTCACAGAAATTTACAGATTATCAGTAAACATTACAAGGCTTTTGTACTCAAAATATTGGATTTTTTAATTAATGATGTGTTCAAGCATTTTATCTTTTCGAATGTTAACTGTCTGACATGCAAAGTAATTTTGATTTTAAGGTTAAAAAATACTTTTATGCGCCAAAAAGTTGTCAAATTTCAGTTGTGAAATCTCATCTCCAAATAATTATCAAATTTTTTTTTTTTTAGAAAAACCTTTTATGTTATCTTTGTTTTCCCTATCTTATCTCTGTGTGAGTTTGGTCAAATTGACTGACCTCGTAACCACCATAAACAAAATGAGCAAATAGGTCTAAATTATGCTTTTTTTTCTCTAGAATGATTACAGGTTGTAACAGGAAACCACAAATGTTTATTATAAATAGCTTAATTTTTTGTTAACATTATAAATACTATTTATTTTTATGACTTTTATTTTATTGACCTTTCAGCCATGTCTGACCAAGACTACAGAAGTTGCAATCACGTGACCCTTTTGTAGCTCATGTTACCATTTCTAATAGCATAAAACTGACCTTTACAAAGTGCAACTATCTTAGTTGACCAGTATTATGTAAAATAGTCACATTTCAGTTGTATATTATTACTATTTACAAACAAATTTTTAAAGTTAAGTGATTTTTCTTAAAACATAGAACAGTAAATAAAGAAATATATATAAAAAAACAAAAAAACAATCTCTGCTTCTTACGATTGTAAAGAAGTTTATACTTGCTTGCTGTACCTTGCATGCTAAGCCTTGTTGAATTTTGTGGAGGATATAAAACAAAATAACTTTATTAGGTTTTATATGTGAATTTTGAAATAGCAAAAAGTTATAAATTGTTATACCAATATGACATAATTCCACTATAATTTATCCGGCTTAGTAACTAAGCTGTATTTGGGTATAAAAAATAATAATTCAATCACCATTTCACCTTTCCCCTTTAATATGAGCTTCAAAAGAAAGACTGATTTGGTGAAAAGGCTGAGAAATCTATGTGGGGAAATTCCGAGCTTTTGATTGGTTATAAACACATGATAGAGTGAAATGGGTGTACGTAAGCAAATATTTCCAAAAATGGAAGAGGTGGGCGAGGCAGCTGTGTTTGATTTTTTTTAATATAGTGATATCTCAGCAAATAGTAAAGATAGGAGGTTTTTCTCTTATATTATAGCTTGTCAATATCAGTAATTTGTATTTGGATATCACAAATTAATTGATTAGTAGATTATCTTGCCATTTAAGTGATGTAATCACTACTCACAGATAACTTATTCATTCTTTAAAATGACTAACTGTAGATAATTAACTACCAAATGTTACAATATAAAAGCAAGAAAGTTATGTAAGCTTATAAGGGACAATTTAATTTTTCTATCATAATTTAAATACCACTTATTCTGTCATAATGTAATCCTACTTTCAGTGGTTGGTGTTTATGTTCATTCTTCATAAAAACAAATTTTATGAAGTTATTAATTGAGTGGAAAATGAAAGTTCATTTTTAATGAAGATTCACGAAGTGTAGATTTGAAGCAGTATGTACACGCACACATAGTTAAAATGTGTTATCTCAATAGAATGTGCTCACATTAACACTTCTTGTTGTTTACCATTCTCTGGTTCTTCAATTTTAGAAAGATGTATAATATAAATATTTTGTTTTCAATAATACATTCTAAATTTTAAAAGAAGTTTGACTTCAAAATTGGTGGATGTGTTTGCATAAATGTAGTAGATGGTTGTATTTATATTAGTTTATGCAAACTTTTATTAATAAATGGTATGAATAGAATTGCAGCTGTTCTTGAAACCTTCAATGCTCGCATACATTAGTATTAGTTGATTGTGGGAAAACGTTAATTTTAAATTGTGAATGCTCAAGTAATCTGAAAACTTGGAAGAATGGTAGCGTAGCTTCTGTGCGGGTAAACGTATGAAACCTTCTTCCTAATTTAAAGTTTTTCATGCAGCTCTTTATGGATTTTACTTTCTTTCTTAACTGTTTCTCACAAAATAACTAAAATTGAGGTTATTGATAATTTTATTCTTAGTGAGGTTTATTGAAAGTTGGCTCCTTTGGCTGGATAATGCATTGTTAAACATAAAATCTAATGTTTTTACAGACATGAGCACACAACAATTTCTCCAAAACCATGAACAGACAGTTAGCCAATATCAAGAAACCCTTGAAAACCTGAAACGTATCAATGAAACTGCTGCGTATCTGCTGGATCTTGTCGATAAAACAAGGCGGGAAGTTGATGAGAAAATTAATTGGTTGGCTGGTTTGGTGGATGGAGCAGGTTAGTGGAGATTCATTTTTTATTTACTAACATCAAAATAAAATCAACAGAGGTCTGTTTAATGGCAGCCGATTTTAAATATTTCAAGGTTTTTACAATGCGATTCTTATAATGATTTATGAATATATACGAAAATGCTTTTAAAAAAAATGTAAAATGGACAATTAGTAAATTTTTCTGTTGATACACTTTAAAGTTATTAGTAAAAGTAAGAAAAATAATTGCCTAAATTAATTACTCCTTACATTATGTGTTAAGTAGTAAACTGTAATTAATTAATTAATATTCTATTTATATAAAAACATTGTAATATCTAGGTTATCAAAAAGCTTTAATCCAATGAATTCAAAATGAGTTTATGACAAATGTAAAAGGTCCTATAAATGTCTGTTAAATGGATAAGAATAGTTAATGTATGGTAAAATTAAAACAAAATAAATACCTGATCTTCCGATTGTGTATGTAATATGTTTTTAATTTTTGCATTTATTTTCAAGGTGACCAGCTATCTGTTATGTACACCTGCACCATGCATGGCGTTTACTTTCTCATTACTGCCATTGGTTCGGTGTTTCTGCAAACCCCCACATCCTCTCGTATAATTCTTCTTTTATTGATTGCACTGAACGTTTTGAGTGATGTGAGACAGGGAGTGAGCCTGGACTTCACTGCTCTGACAGTGATTCTGATTTCTGTTGTTTTAGGTATATTTAATATCTGTTTTTAGTCTAAAAAATGTTTTAAAAAGTTCAGGTTTATGATACAGCTTCTGTCTGTATCTTTATTTTATGAGAATGAAGGAATTATAAAAATGATAAAAATAAATAATAAAAAAATAAATGATAAATAATAATTTCGTGGTGGGCAGAGCACAGATAGCCCATTGTGTAGCTTTGTGCTTAGTTACAAAACAAACAAACGATAAATAATAATTATAAAAATAAATAATAAAAAATAAATGATGAATAATAATTATAAAAATAAATAATAAATGATGAATAATAATTATAAAAATAAATAATAAATGATGAATAATAATTATAAAAATAAATAATAAATGATGAATAATAATTATAAAAATAAATAATAAATGATGAATAATAATTATAAAAATAAATAATAAATGATAAAAATAAATAATAAATGACAAATAATAATTATAAAAATGATAATGATAAAAATTAATAAAAAAATAAATGATAAATAATAATTATAAAAATAAGAACTTTAGTTTTAGCATAAAATGTTTTCAGTTGATGAGCATTGAAATTTTTCTTAAAAATTAAAAAAAAAAATTACTAACACAAAATTAAAACATTTTCTTAGCAGAAATAATACTTATAAGCTTGATGTTATAAACATAATTTGAATGTAGTAACATAACCTTCAAAAATAAATATTTTTACAGGGATAATAATCTATACTATTATTCTGCTTGTTTGTATGTACGACCGTTACGCTTTCTGACCAAGAACCTGCTGCATAAGCATGTGTAGTTAGAATGTTTCCTCCAAGAAAAACCGCGCGTGCGCATTATTCACTCTAAGACAAACAGTCTGCTTACGGCAGAGAGCTGCACTGCTCAGTGATCTCATCACTGCAATTGCTGTATGACACAAGAAGTAACAGCAAAAGGGGAATGTAAATATACTTTACTAACCATTTTGTACAACAGAATATTAAAAACTTGTCAAAGTTTTTAAAAAAGGTTTGACGTTAGATCGTAGAATAACATTATAAGTTTAT